TATTAAGGTCCATACCCTGCAGAGTTTCAGGTGATTTTAAGCCATCTATCTAGGAATGTATAAATTGGTCTTGGAATGAAATTTCACCTAGGGAATTTTATGTTATCCAGTAGTTAAGTCTGATTTTTAAAGTTTCCTATGTCTCAATGTTCTGAAGTGGCGGCTGCTTTTCCATAAAATGAGGGTTTAACTGCAGAGCACAATCTAAATGCAAAATCCTTAGATGGAAATTTAATTGTGTAAAATGTGCACAAGGTAATTAAGAACAAATTTTAGAACATTTCAGACTATAAAGTCCTCCTTCGGCTAGATCACTAGCGATATTGTAAGTGCTTATTTTCAATTTGCAGTTATGCTGAGAAACATGGAATGTGTCTAAATTAAGAATAAAAACATGCCATGCTTTTCAGTATAACTGTAAATTAAAAAACAACTTGCACAACATAGACAATAATCTAAGTGGGAGACTTTATTGCCTGAGTGTCCTAAAAATATGTTTTGAACTCCCTTCCCTCAGTCACTTTCTGAACAGGATACGGACCAAGTTGCTATTGTAATTCTTATTAACAATACACAGGCAGGCAAGTAACATTTTAAAAGAGCGATGTAGAGAAAGCGCTTTGTTAGTGAGGATTTCTGGATTTCCATTTTCAGTTCCAAAATTATTAATTACGTTATTTCAACAAGTCATTTTAATTGTGTGTTCACGTATCTGCACTTTAAATGTATGTATTTGAGAACAGGTTAGAGTTGCTTTCCAGCCCTTCTTATGGCTGCTCAGTACAGAGGGTTTAGGCACCTGCCTCTACCGAAACTGGCTGCCTCATGTTCTTTTTGCTTTCCCCTATGTGTTTTTAGATATACTTTGATAAAAATCAGCCTACATGCACACTGTACCTCTGCCTGTTATTTAATAATCTGGGATTATTTCTCAGTTTATCAAGTACTGGTTTAAAATCTGATGGTGCACCCCATACATGCATCTGCACCTCTGACCAAGTCTGGGGGAAGGCTCCTATCAGGTACTTGCATTTGGAAGTGCACATCATTTTTCAGGACACAACCTCACTGAACGCCGTAAGATGAATGTTTTAAGTGCTCTGATGGGCTACTTCTATGTCTAAGAAAGTAATAGTTTTTAAAAAAAAAACCACACACGCCACTATCCCCCCAAAAAAACCCAGACATGTAGTTGCTCTAAAGTGAAATAGCATAGGAAAGTGTTATTCTGACATATGACCATGACATGGTCTGATTCTCATTTATATTTCCATATCGATGCTGGCATTGCAATTCACTGGGCCTTTTTAAAATGATGGTTTTTACAGTTCTTGTGTAGAGGGAAGGTATCCATAGGGAAACCAGCTCCTTGAAGTTCAGGCATTCCCTTCTCCCCTCCTTAGTATCCAGAGCTGCATAAAGTACTGATCAGTTCCCGAACCTAACTAGTCTGAATGGAAATACTGTATTTTTGTTATAATGCCTTAAAAACAAAATTGCAAGCTCCTGAGTTTCATCGTGTAAATGCAGAGGAGATAGGTTTTGATAGTGTGTTAGTTTGGTAGTTTACATTTTTTTTGTATCCTGCATTGGGCTTGTGCTGCGTACTTTTATATGACTTCCTTGAAACAGATGATAGAGAGTATGAAAATCCCTTTAGTGAAGCTCTAATCTGTTTGTTTTTTGTTTTTTTTTTTTCCTTTACTTTAACTGTGACGCTATTTATAAATCTAAATCTACATGCAGAGGTCATTGGTTGGCTGAACTTAAACCATTTTACTTAGTAAATTTAATTAAGAAAATACAGTGCAACTCATAAGCAAATGAGTTTTTCCTAGTTTTAAACCAAACCACCCTCTTGAGTGCTGATTGCCTTGCTCGACCCCTGGTGATATAGAAACAGGCAAAATTAAAAAGGACATTAAAGCTTCATTAAATCTGAAACACATTTAGTACAGTGACATATCTGCAGGCTATTTCAGGGAAGATTACATACTCTTTGGTAAGTTTCTTAATTTATAATACCTTGACAATCTTGCAGGGAGGAAACAACTCTGACTAGATGAATCGAGTGATGGTTCAGGGGGATGCAGAACTGGCACATGATCTGTCCATGGCTGTGTTGCTTTGCAGTTCTTAGTCAAGCAGGAGCTTCACTGAGAAGAGTGTTTCTTTTTTAACAACCCCCAAAGAACTTGTTCCTGATGCATTTCGGATTCTTCAAAGCTCATTTATACACCCTGTACTTAACGTCTGGCAGAAAACTGCTCTTCCCCCAATTATTCTGCTGCCTTTGGAGCCCCTGCTGAGGCATGTGGTGGTCAGGGAGAGGAATCGACAGTGAGAATGGAAATGCTTAGTTTGAAGTCATCATCGAGGCAGTGATCGTTTTTCTGCTTAAATAAGATCGGCAGAATGATGCCCTGTGCATATAGCCATAATTATCTTCTTGTTCTACAGTGGGATAACTATTACATTCCTACAAGTCTGTAGCTCTTGTAATGACTATTCTTAAGTCAGTAGTCATTGGAAAAATCAGGATTTCTTCTACTTCTGTTCATAGAAAAGTGTTTGGCATTTATAGGTTTGTTTCTAGGCATTTATAGGCTATCACAGTAGCAGTGCTTCTTAGGATCTTGAGCAGCTTCTTGGAAGTTAAGCATGGTCCTCCCAAAAGAAAAGAAGATGAAAAAGGGTATGTTTGAGTAGCTCCTGGTCCTTAAGACTGAGCATAACAGAAAACATAGGGTCTTTGCTTAACTATTTAGCAGTATATTTCAAAGCCTGCCATCAGAGAGTGGCTGGAGTGACACTCTGAGCTGGGAGAAGCTGTGAACCAGATACAAGTGATAGAAAGGATGGCGATCAAGCCTGCTTAGCTCAGGTTGGTTTGTTACGAGGATGAATTTGCTGCAAAGAGAAGCACTGCACTCAGCACTGCATCAGAAACAAAACTGAAAGGCAGAATTCACCCCAAAGAGTTGAGTCTTACAGGCAAACCTGGAAGACAAAGCACAGAAGAAACCCAGAGGAGGAAGCTAGCTTAAATTATATCACTTTGGAGAACCTGAAGAGAGCTTACTTGTCTTGTCACCTTAATGTTGCTCCCTGTTCCAGTGTCTCTTGTAAGCCTGATTTCTTCTATATCCTGTAGGTGTTGGTCTTACAAACCAAGCAAACAGAACGATCCCCAAGTGGATGTCTACCAGCAGATCACAACTTTCAGAGAGATGAGTGGCACAATAGAAACATTTCAGAACAACTGCATATGTTATTGCTTGTAGGGATCCTTGGTCAACACCATACTGATAGAGCAGACCATAATGGTTCCTCCTCAGTCATTATGCAAACTTCAGCACAAATACTATCTCAGTATTGCAAAAGCTTCTTTTAAGAGTAGTCACCAAAAAAATTCTTTCATCTCTTTGGGTTTCTCTTGCGTGCCTCTCTTACACAAATGCTTCAAGACCTACTCTGCTTTTGTAATGTCTTTCCTCTGAGGACCTGGATGAAGTTTACTATATTTGCTAGGGCTCACAGCTAAATGGCCAGTACGATACTAGGTTTGGACAGCAACTGGAATTGCAGAAAGGGCACCATCTCTGCTGTTCTCTGGTTGCTTCCACTCATGCTGTCAGCTTCTTCTTACTACCTTCTCACAACCTTTTTCCTGAGCTGGTGAGGCTCGAGTATGTCTACTGGTCTTTGCCCCATCACTCCCCCACCTTGCTACAGCTCTGTCTATGCCGTATTGCTTGTACTTCGGATAGTTCTGTGCTGCCAGCCAGGCTGAAATTTCATCATAGGTTAGCACAGCTGCCTCAGCTGCAATCTGGCTAGGTCAAGTAACCACGGCACTGAGGAGCTCAAATACCAGTGGCAATACAAGTGCCGTGAAACAGCCTTCGCCCAGCCCTGACGTGTGGTTTAGCCTTTGCAGTACATGACATGATGGCTTAGATCTTCACATTGATGCTTTTGCTCAGTCTGACACAAATATACCTTGTTTATCATGCAGACAAAGCAACGATAACAGTGCATCCATAACCTTTTTGGTAGACCACCTCCTGAAGCTTGGTAAGGGGAGGATTCACCAAGGTTAACTGGAGTGTAGAGAAGCTCATCTGCTATGGCTTCTCCAGAAAGCAGGTCAGAACAGAACTGCTCTGAATGCCCTTTTGGAGGAGTCTGTGTCCACTCTGAAAACCCTTGCCCTTCACTGAATAGTACACAAAATAACTTAAACTAGCTGTATTTTGCTGAAATTGTTTCCAAGGTTCAGATACCAAATGGGAAACCTGAAGTCTTGTACGAAGAATTTATCACGGAATATTTATTAGCTATGGCATTATGGCAACAGTAGTATTGTTGTTGGGTCCAATATTGATAATAGCAGATACTCTAGTAATGCATCAATTGACTTATAAAACAGCATGGGCAACAAATCCAGTTGATATCGTGTGCAATTGAAAGTAGATCTGAAGAAACGACAGTGTCATTTTGCAGGTGCCCTGATCTCTCTCCAGATCCCACTCGCAGGTTCCTAGCTGGGTTTGACACCGATAAGGAAGCAAACCTCAGCTATATAACCCAGATTTTACTCTGAGCCAGTTAAGGAAGGACTTTGGGAGTTCAGTGCATGCTCTACAATACCTGTTCATTGCAGATAATTATCAGTAAAGGTCAGTGTCGTTGGCCTCGCTATCGAGGCTGAACTGGTTTAATTTAGAGAGTCCTCAGGAACTTGGGCATCAGACAGTGTTACTGAGTGGTACAGACAAAAGAGCTTGAGAAATACTGAAATACTCAGAAATGTAGAACAAGGGTAATTGTTGTGAATGACTCCATTCTAAATACAGCTCTTTGTGTGTTTTCAGAATTACTTTTGCTGACATTTTCCAATTTGTACAATAGTAAGAGTTGAGTACTTTTCTCTCTTTAAGAAAATGTGCCCTCCATGCAAATCTATATAACTAGACAAATATTATTTCCTTTCCCAGCTTGCTCTTGGGAGGTTTCCATATCCTCAGGTAAGATTGTTCATTACTGCTGTTTGCCACTGTGACATTCATTCCTATGTATGAAGGTGCAGAGAGCAATTGTGAACATTTGAGCCACATACAAATAAATCTGTCCTGTTAAATTGAAAAGTGGTATCTTGAAGGAGTCATTTAGAAGTCTCTGTTGATTTTTTTTTTTCCTCTTTTTCTCTTCTCCAAACTCTAGATTTTCTTTCCCTGGACACAATGAAAATTTGATTATGTTGATTATTGTTTTGTTGTAGATTAAAAAATAATCCAGTACGTACAACAGTGCTTTTGAAGCAGGAAGGTGTATCTACTCCTTTTGTATATTTTAATTTTTAATTCCGATTTTGACTAATGGTACAATGGTCTAAAATCTTCCCGAATCAAAAATATAATGTGAACGGAATACTTCAGGGAGCTCTGGATTCTCCCTTTTAAGAGGACCTAGTATTAATATTTTATTTAGACACTGGCATTTTCTAACTTTCCACTGACCTACTCAGTTTCATTGAAGTTGGCAGTAAAACTATTTCCATCTTCAGTGGCAATGGTTAGGCCAATGCTGAGCCCTGCATTACCACGTAGTATTTTACTTTGTCTGTATGCTTGAAAAAACATGAAGCTCTGAACAAAACAACCAATCCAGAAATAGGTTTGATGATTACTTTAAATTCTTATTGCAAGATGGATGTTAGAATTCATAGTAACAAACTATTCTGTAGTTCTTCAAATTATTCTTTCCTGGGAGAGGGGAAAAAGTGAAGTGTCCAGGGACTGAAATGAATTATTTGAATGTGGTTTTTATGTTTTCATATGTTTTATGAACACTGTTTTCTGCATCTTGGTCTATACAGATCAGAGTGCCTGGAGGCATGTCTGATTTAAAGGTGGTGTTGGTCTGTGCTCTTTAAGCATCTATTAACTTGCTATTATTATGCAAATAACTGTTGTAATACACATACTAATTTATGCATGGTTAGATTATGCAGATGCCTCACAAACATGGTTATTGAATAATAGGCTGGGACTCATTCTCTCTCCCATTTTTATAAGCTGTTTTAAGCAAATTCTCCTGACACTTTTATGGACTTGCAAAGGTTTTGCATATGTAGAAATATACTGATTTTTCGCTCTCTCATCTCCTATGGAAAATGTTTACTGACAGAGAGCTGTAGCTGGTTAGCAGAACATACTTTGCATATTTTATCCATATTTTAAAATGTACCCTCTCCTTTGAAGAGAGGATTGAAAAAGAAGCTCTTGTGTTGAAGTGTCCTCCATACATTGGCGTACTCACTTGTGCTCATTGAGTGTCTTGATGTTCATTGTAGATGGTGTATTATAACACTAAATCAAAGTGACATGGGATACAATTTAAGATAACCCTGTGTTCACAGAAGTGTTGGAGCTTGGGGAAGGAAGTTAGAGCGCGTACATTATGTATGATTCTAGACAAAAATTTGTTTTCTGAATTGGGAGCAAAACATGATTGCTAGTTTAAGATCCTTTTTGCTATTCTAATTAAAAAACGGATCGGGTTTGTAGAAGAATATTTGGCAAGTCAGTAGTCCATGAAATTGTATATATTTTTTTAATGTAAAACAGTTGAGGAGGTGAAACTTCAAAATGTAGCTATTACGCTTTTCAAGCAACTGCTTTTCATAAGGATTTTTATGTGAAGAATATGTATTTTAGACATGTTCTTACTTAGCTGGTCACAAGAACCCTTAGAAACCCACTCTGATTAGGGGGATAATTAGTAGGGTTTTTTTTTTTTTAGTGTCTAAATATCTATTTACCTCCCTGTGTAAGGGCCTGATTCTGCAGTCACTCACTTGAGTAAATCCTCCTCACTTCAGTGAGGCGTATTCAAATGATGGAAGTTAATCGTATGTGTGTTTGCAGAATTTGTCCCCAAATAACTTGAAGTTACTTCTCCATGAAAATGGAAAGTATGAGTACATGTTTGAGAACACCTGAAATTTTCTGCAAATGAATGTTTGTATCCAGCTGTAGCTGTGGGGAAAAAAAAGTTTTTTTCCTTTTTCTCTATTTTTAAGACACAGACAAATGGTGTGTGTAAATTCGGTTTAAATGAATAAGATTTATAGAGGGAATCATTGCAGTGTGGAAATTCCTGCAATATGCCAGTAAGACTAAGGGATGACTTTCTTTTCCTGGCCTTTAGTAGAATATTTTAATGATAGAACTTACCACTTCTCATTTTTCACATGTTTTATAAGTATTTATTTTGCTAACACTTATTCGTCACACTATCATTATTTAATCTTATATTCACAATAAAGACTTACCTTGAAAGCACTTAAGCGTGCGAGCAACTACTCATGTAAGTAAAGTTGCATATGGGTGTGTTTAGAGTTACTGCAAATTTTTTTTGTCTTGATATGTAGCTGACTTCATAATCTGTAGGTAACTGCCAAAGGTAGGGATCTGAACAAGGAAATACAAATAGTAAAGAACAGACTTTTCCACTATAAAAACTTTGCGCAGGAAACGCTAACCCTTAAAACGTAGTAAATTTCTAAAACTGTTACAGTTTTCATTGTTTTGTTGTTCGTTTTCCTGGCATGGTTTTGCAACGTGCTATTGCTTGCTTGCTGTAATGTAGAACTCCTTTTGGAAGTCGTAGGGTATGACGCTCAAAGGATTTTCTGTAGATACAAACGTAAGCACTTAAGGGTATATTCTTCCCCTGATGTGTTTGCTTAACACTATTAAAACTAACAGGAATGGTGCATGCGCTCACACACACACAAAGAATACTCTTTTGAATAAAGTTCTTTCCTACATAAACATTCAGAAAAGAAAGGAAACCCCTTTCACCGAAGCCAGTTGCTAGTCTACAGTCCGTCCAGCTTTTTAGGTATCTGAAGAAGGCACATAGGGAAAATAAGTTTCAAATTTCTTTTAAAAGTTCAACTTTAATTTATGTGATTTTGATTTTACATGGCTGTGCAGAATGAACTGTTAAAAAAAAAAAAAAAAACAAAAAACAAAAGGCCATGGCACCTCACAGTATATTTAATTAAATTTTAAGTTGGAACCCCAAAGATGTGCAGTGGCTGAACAAACTGTGAGACGTAGAGTTAATCATGTAGATTCAAATTCAGTATATTGTATAAAAACACGATGGGGGCAATGACTTGTTTAATGGTAATGCAATTTAGGAGAAATGAAAAGATTTGCCCACTAAATATTCTCGGCTTGTAGTCGAACTTTATACAAAGCAGGATGTTAAAAGGACGCCGCATCCATTAGGGAAATATTCCAAAGAAATAGGCAGTACTCAGCTGCCGAGGATTTAATCAGCTACAGGAAAGTGCGGACTACGACGACTGTATTTAAGATACTTTTGCATTTAGAGAAATGTTTTCCTTCCTTTGGCTACAATTCCAGGCCTCGCTTAATAAATTACATGAAAATGACCTGAAGTTTTTAAAAAAAAAAAAAAATCCGTGAAAAAAACCCTGTCCCCCATTCCGCCCCCTCCCATCCGGCTGCCCCCCCCAAATCTGAGCAAATACTGCCCCTGGTATTGTAAAGCTTTGAATGTTTTCACACCCCATTAATTTATTACTTCTCTTTCCTCATCTTTAAATTTTTTTTATTTTTTTTTTTCTTTTTTTTTTTTTTTAATTTCCCTTTTTCTTTTTCCTCCTTTGTGTTTGTTCAGTAAACCCCAATTACTCAGGAGGGGAACCGAAACGCTCCCGAGGCTGTACTAGATTTTGCTGTAGCGATCGCACTTCCGGAGGCCAAAACTGTCATTTAAGGTTCCTGGTGCATCTGTCTACGCCAGGCTTTTCACTGGCACCGGGAGAGTGTGAATAACAAATTGGATGCACCTGAGATTCAGATGATTAGTGTGTTTTGTGAATCTGGGCGACTTGTAAGCAGATAGCTGTAGGGGTGGGGAGGGCTAAACAGCCACCCTGGGTGAAGCTGTGCTCACACCTTGCATTTGGGATGCGCGGGGAGCGCGCGAGCATCCCGGCAGCCGGAACGCGGAGAGTAACAAATATTTCATCCTGCCTTGTCATTGATTAGAAAAGAGCCTTTAATTTCATTTCACCCCATGTTGTGATTAATTTGCATTCTTTGTCAGAAGTTAATGGAGTTTTTTATGGTTCACTCTGAAATCCTTGAAGACATCAGAGTTGATCTGATGTTTATACAACCGCCAGCGGAATTTTTTCATTTGATTGATGGAGAGCTTGATGTTATTCCAAACGGCTTTTTAAGCTGTTTTTAAGAATTATTTGAATAAAATGCAAGCAAGATATTGTTATAACGATCAAGATTATCTGTTAAAAATCTGTTTCAAATAAAGAACATGATAAGTAGAAAAAAAGATCAAAAAGACAGGAGAAATGATGAATACAGAAGATGATATTTGTTAAAATATATAATCTAAGGATTCAAATAAGTTGTTTCAAAATGTAGCGAAAGTAAGAGAGACCTTAATTTAAGGTTTTTTTTTAATATGAAGAGTTTATTTTTGCACATGATAAATAATGGGAATGAATTAGTAAAGAATTTAGTTATAGTTAGATTTTCCCCTTCCTTTTTATTCTCCCAGCTTTTTCACCTTCATTTCACCAGCAATGCGAGCACAGAGCACTGGTATCTAACTCGGAGAGACAAGACTGTCAGGCCTGTTAGTTCAACAAAATGATGACATATTACTCATCTCAAGGAAGAGGCATTCTTAAATCCCACTGCAAAGAAAACATAAGTGGATAATAGGAAATTTTATAGCCCAAGAAAGCATTCGCTGTAGACCTGCCTTTGGTCTGCTTTATAAGAAAATATACAGGCAAAAAATCCTCCGTGAAAGAAATCTGCTTTTTGCTCCTCCTGTAAGGGAAAGGTCTGTACTTTTACCAAACCCCAGCATATAAGAAGCATCGGAGAGACGATGCAGAATATTCTGCGTATGCTGGGCCAGATCCTCAGCTGGAGCAAATCAGTTCTGCTGCTCC